TGGAAATATCGAGTACATTTCCTGCCTTTCTTCTTGAAATTGGAGTCCATTTTTACCCCGAAGAGATACATATAAAAATTCTTAAAATGTATAGTTTTTTTGTACAGGAAACAAACTTTTGAAATTTGTCAAGACTATCAAAATACACATCATTTACATTTCTTTAAGGATTTTTTTATTTTTATTAAAAAAATTCTATTAAAAAAAAAGTTTAAGAGATATAACAATTAAAAATGATACTTTTTGTAAATATATACTTACCCCCTTCCCAATACACTTTTGGAACTGAACTTTGTTGATAAACGTGAATAAGCATGCCTATTGATTAACCATTACCATGACTTCCTGACCATTAAAGTAAAGGTTTATGGAAGTAAAATGTATCTATTTAATTTGAAAGCATTCCAGCATACAGATAAAACAGCATGTGACTCTTACCATTGACCAGAGCCATGATGCCTGGGATGATGATCAGAATCAGAGCAAACATCTTGATGAAGGTCAGCAAGACCTGAGTGCGTGCTGCCATTGACACACTCCAGCAGTTCATTGCCACCACAAACGCTGGGTAGAACAGTTTATAGTTTTACAAATGTATTTAGATGTTTAGACTAAATCAATCCATAAAGTAGCAGCACTCACTGACTCCCAGCATGCTGACGAGTTTGACCAGCGCTGTAGGAGCAGCACACGGCATGAATAACGGCTCCACTACATACTGACCAAAAGCCAGAGACACGTACGTGGCCACTGCAGGTCTGAAATGTCATTATGATTGGACTCACTTACAATTCTATGAACACTGTGAAATACAAACACTGCATGCACACACACCTGATGAATATGAACTCAGTCCACAGTCTCAGGAAGGCAGGCAGGGGCCCCAGGGTCTCCAACAGGTAGGTGTAATGACCACCTGATTTTCTAAAGCTCGTGCCCAGTTCAGCATAGCATAAAGCACCTGATGAAAACATGCTATATTTCAAAAATGGATTAAACTTGCATTAAACTTAAACACAAAAAAGATAGTTTGAAGAGTGTTGGTAAGTAACCAAACAGTTATGGAAGTCAATGGATACCATCAACTGTTTGGTTAACAACATTTTTCTAAATATCTTCTTTTGTGTCCAGCAGAAGATGAACTATCTATCCTTTAATGGTGAACAGGATCA